ACGCATGTATAAAACATATCTCAAAGTTCAGTATCTTCAAAATTGTCATTTAGACGTAAACTGGTTTTATCGTACGAACGTCGCATTTCAGTTTGCGCTTGCATTCTGATTTTCATCATAAACTGCAAACTGCCTTTGTAGATTTACTTTAACGTCATCTCGCTTAATCTTAAGTAATCTTAGAATCGGCTTTTACATTGAAATCGTTTTTTTGTCAAACGAACGCAGCTTTCGGTTTTAATCGCTGAAAAATTTCCGCTACACTAATTCACCCCCGCCCTCTTAGTGCTCTTGATCCTAACACTAACCCTAGCCGGCCACTTCACCTCTTTAATAGGGGTCGGCTTAGGTAGGTTTTACATGAATGTCCCTCTCAATTAGGACTCTCCTAGCTATAGTCCTAACACCTTGAGACCAAAAGAAGCAGACGTGGCTGTGAAACAATTACCTTCTTTGGCCAAAGAGTAAGATGATGATGGAGAAGGATTAGGATTTTGGGACTGGCTTAGAAACTTAAATAGTTGCTCAATTTGTTCCTTACTGAATACAGACATTTCGGCTCCTTTAGAAGTGGTGGCAGATTGATTGTCTACTTGAAATCCTTTGCTATTAGCCTTTTTTGGAATTTGATTGTTCTTCCAGTTTGTTGGTTTTTGATGTATCATCCAACAGGTTTCTCTTGTGTGTCTTGGGTTATTACAAAAGAAACATCATACTTGCCTTTATCATCTCCCTTCCTTTGATTACGTTGCACAACGTTAGCAAAAGAAATAATTTCAGTTCTCATAATAAGTGTAGAATCTTTTACAACCATAGATGGAGTGGAAGATCCCATCATGACTTGTCTTTTACTATCCTCCCTCCTAACTTCAGAGAATATAACTTGGAGAGATAGCAATGGATCCTTCCCAAATATTCATCCATGATCTTCATCTAGTTCTTTGTTTAAACATACCAAAAATTGAAAGGCCCTCTCAAGCGTTTTTATGTATCGAGCACTATTTGCAGCACATGACCACTCAAAATTATAAAAAATATCAAGCTCTTGCCAGAGTGTCTTTAAGGAATTAAAGTATTTTGTAACATTAGTATTACCTTGTTTAAGCTCTCTAATCTTGTTTGTAATCTCAAATACTTGGTTGAATTCCCTATATCTAAATGTCTCAACCACAGCATCCTATAACTCCCTTGCTATTGGTGAAAATATTTGGCCAATTTCTGGTTCCTTAGAGTTTATTAACCATCATATGATCATGGAATTTTTAGAATCCCATACTTCGAACTTGGGATCATTCTTTGCAAGTGTCGTTGTTGATCTGGTCAAATGACCGATCTTTCCTCTTCCTCGAATATATAACATTACGGGCTGAGACCAATGAAGAAAGCTTTGTCCGTTGAGTTTATGTATTGTAAGAAGATGGATTGTCACCTAAGCTGTTTGTTGGAGATGGAAGCATTGGTCTCATCTTCTAATACCGGGGGTAATACAGAATGGATTTCGGAAAAAAGTTGATAGTAGGAAAGGAACGAACTCATGATAAAACTTTAATAAGATAAAAAAAAAAGCTCACCACCAAGTTTAAAATCACAAAGGGATACAGAAAGATCACTACCCCAAGGATAATAAACAAGGATGCAGAACTAAAAACAAAGACTCACCACTCAAGGGCGCATCCAAGAGATACAGAGTTTAAGATAGCACTCCAAGATAGTTTCTGCCAATATCATCAGTTTCTAAAGTTCTTTCTAACCCCTAAATACCAAAATAAGTACTAGTGCATGAAACAACCCTTCATGCATAGAGAATTTCGAAATTAAATGTTTTACAGCTGGTAACTAATATTTTTAATGCATTCCTTGGTCATGAAGAAAAGCACCTTGAAACAACTGTAACTTTATTAAAAGAATATGCTCATGAGCTGTCATATTTGAGTGGACTGAGTTGAAAACTATGAAGCAACATTGTGGGCTGAAAAATATACCGTAGCATTAGCAAGGTCCATATAAGTAGATTGTAGCAAATTAGGTACTCCCGTGTCATCTTCTCTTCTCCAAATATAGTAGCGTAGGTTCTTCATGAGAAAACAAAGAAGAAATAGTTGGGACTGATTCGGAAAGTGGTAGAATAGAGGAAAAGGCTTTCAACAATAAGGCTGAAAGAAAAAAAAAAACGATTACTATAGGAACCAGACTTCGATACCATGAATGCAAGAGAATATAATTTTTCTAATTCATTAATTTTTTCTAGATACAAAGGATGACATATATAGGCTGAGTATAATATGTACAACTAAGGAAAGTGATTCTATACAATATTTCATTCTAATTCATTTCCTATAATATGGGCTGATTTGATACTTGATTGAGTGGCCCAAAGTAGGCTCTGATACCATGAACACAAGAGAATATAATTTTTCTCATTTATTAATCTTTTTTTTATGCAAAGGAAGACATATATAGGTTGATTAGAACCTTACAACTAAGGAAATTGATTTTGTATAATATTTTATTCTAATTAATTTTAATAATATGAGCTGATTTGATACTGATTGAGTGGCCTGAAATAGGGGATAGATTCTCTTAATTATGAGATTGTAAACTCCCTTAATTATGGGATTCAAAATCCCTTAATCATGAGATTTTCTATGATTGGTTTATTTTGTTTTCTATTGTTCCACACAATTAAGTGATGGTTTATGTTGCTTTAAGAGGCATACATGATGAGCTATGCCTTATAAAATGGGTAAATTCCATGAACTCACTTCACCACCCATTCCATTAAAGTGGCACATCTGGAAGGTTTTTATTTTCTGGGAGATCTATTTTGGCATAGACTTGGAAGCTGACAAGAAAATAAGCAAGTCCACAAGGAGGAGAAAACAATGAAGATTTGTACTTGTGTTTGATATTTATCTTACTACAATTTAGTTCTTGTAGAAAAAGGATGGTCTAGTGCTTAAGGCTTTCGCCAATACTCTTCTCAGTCCTTGCATGACTATCTATATATAAATTTTCTTGGGACATTGTAGGTTTACTTTATCTAGAGGAGTATAAATTTGATGCTTAGGTTTGATGATTTAGTAGTTGCTTTAATATGGCCACAAGTAATTTTGTGAGTTCAATGTATGGATTTTTCTCAAGATAATTTTGATTATGCAGGGCCTAAACAAGGAAAAGAAACATCTTTATCCTGGGATTTTATCAAACACATATCTAATGGTTTGTGAGTTATTTTGACTGATGACCTGCATTTAATTTGGATTATGCTAATCTTATCTCACTTATGTATACTTTCTAGATGCCACATCAAATCCAAAGGTTTTGTTGACACACATCCCTCTTTATCGTCCTGATGACACCCCTTGTGGTTCACATCGTTCTTCCTCTGTTATCAATCAGGTATCTTCATTGTTTTGCTTGTTTATAACCTCCATCATGCATATTATGAATTAGGCCACTCATCCAGGTTGCTCTGAAGTAATCAACAAACATGTTAACATTGGTAACTAATGATATTTTATCTTTATCTTTCAGAGGATTTCATATGCTGGTACTGATCATGGAATCTCGTAAGTCTTGATTTCTGTCTGATCTTTCTTTCAGAGAATTTTATATACTGGAACTGATCATAGAATCTCATAAATCCATGATTCACCTTTGTGATAAGTATTAGGTAGGAGCATAACATATTTGTTTCTCATGTGATTGTACTGTATAACTAATATATAATCAGTTTAGGTATCAGAACTATCTAAGCGAGGAAACTTCAAACCATTTACTGGACCTCATCAGACCTGTAAGCTTTGTTATTTTTTGACAGTTTATGATTGATTTCATAAGTGCACAAGCTCCTTTCTACATCATTTTGCTTGTTGCAGACACTTGTGTTGTCAGGTCATGATCATGATCAATGTACAGTGGTACACTCTACACCTGCTGGAACTGTAACTGAGGTAGGATTTTACTAGTATATTTTGGTTGTGGTTTATTGCTAGAGTCTAATCTTATGAATTGTGCAGCACACTGTTGGAACCGTCAGCTGGCAGCAGGGAAACCTGTATCCATCATTCATGCTGCTGTCTGCAAGATCAAATTCAACCAACTCAGAGGATGCTGTTTCTACTAATTTATGTTTTCTTCCAATGCAAACTCATATCTACATCTGGTACTACCTTTGTTATAAATTTCACTCTGTTATTATTAGTTTATTGTGGTTGTTTAGGAGATTACTTTTGCCACCTGTTTGCACTAATGTATCTCCTTGGTTAATATTGTCAGGTATCTGACTCAGTTTGTCATAACTCTCATTTTGATCATCATGTGGCCAACAAATGGCTTGGGACTTTCTGACAAATGTATGAGCTACATTACAGCAATGAAAAATAATCTAATGTCCACATCTAAAGAAAAAGATGAAGAGGAGAATTGCGAATATGAAATGGTCTGGGATGCAGATGGGTCAATGCATCTTGTCAAGAAGGCCAGAACAAGGGTCCCAGCCCCAAAGTCCGATACAGGGTTTACAGGGAGGTGTGTCAAACTTTGATTAGAAATATTATAATACATGATACAGGCTATAGAATCTTGCTTTTGACAGTTTTGAGGAAATTTTTGGTGCTAATGCCTGCTTTTTCCCTGGTGCTAATACATGGTGATGCAATTTCCTAATTTCTGTAAATTCTGACTGATCTCATGACAGGAGAAAGGTTGTCTCGAGGCCAACAGCAAAGAAGCATTTGCAAGAGGCAGAGGCATCTGTCTCGGTGGACTTGAGCTGGGAGTCAAAGACAGAAGACACTGCAAAAATGCAACGCCCAAGCAAATCAAAGGTCAGAACAGTGGTCCAGCGGCTGTTTCGGCTACGGCTGCTTGTGATTGTTGCTGCGGTGAATGTCCCGCTTTATATGATGCTGCTTTTCAAGGATTGGATCGACCGGTGACCCAACAAGTGGAAATTGAAAGGGTCACTCTTGCATGCATGTTCTTGAGGTGGGGATGATTTTATGGTGGCTTATGTGTAGAACAGGATGTAATAGAAAGCCTTTCTCATTGTGTCTTGTTTCTAATCATTTGCATGTAGTTTTGCCACGAGGTTGATTTTCTTTCTTCTGTGACACGCGAAGAAGCTTGATGGTGATATGACATGAAATCCACAAAGTTACATCCCAGGATTCAGTATAGGAAGTTAAATCTATTCTGAATAACAGAACATGACTCGGGCTGAATAAGAGCACTATTTCTTGTTTAAGCAGTAATTTTTGTTTGGGTGACCTCTATAGAAAGTTATTTATTTATTTATTTTTTTTTTCTGTAGCATCCTAATAATTGTTTTTTTCTTATAAAAATCTTTATTTTTTTTAAATGTCAAGTGTATCTGTAATAACTATTTTATCAGTTTTGTCCTTTTCCTTAAATTCGAAACTCATTGAATCATATCCATTTAAGACATTATATAAAAAATGGTCTTGTTTTCTTTGTGAATTTTTATTTTCAAACTTCATTTTCAGATGGCAGTTGCATAGAGGGAAAATGATCATAATAGTTCCTTTTTTGTGTAATAGTCCTGCTTTGGTTGTCGACCTTGTGGTATGAAACAAGAACCATCCTAGCACCCTAAAAGCCTTGTTGGGCATTGATGTGGCTCGCTTAAAGGTTTGATGTTTGGTGTAAAGTTTTTGGTGAGTCAGTTTTGTGTTAGACCAAAGTGTTTGGTGATTATTATGTTTTCACCTGCTTGTGGGGGGCGACCTTTTTCTTTAATGTGCGATCATCCAACCAATCTATGAGATGAGATTCTTTGTGCTTTGTGTTGCTTGTGATACTTGTTGTATATGGCAATGACCTATTATTTATTACCCGTGCATTGGCTTTTTAATCTTTTTTTATGAAATTTATCCATTAAAGACCCTACTAATTTGTTTTATTGAATGGCATCCCTCTATCGAGAAATAATTAGGGAAAACTTTAGTTATACACTCTTATTCTAATTAATTTGTTTGATTCCTCGAATCAAATCGGATCAACAAATTCAGTCAGGTCAAGATTCTTGAACGTCAATATACTTTTCTCCTCTTTCCTTCCGCCACTTAGTTTTTAAGAATGAATGAATATATATATATATATATATATATATATATATACATATATATTATATATATATATATACATATATATGTATATATATATTATTTATATATGTATGTATGTATATATTTATATATATAAGTAAAAAAAATTATGTGACGTTGCCTCTCTTCTCCCTAGGCAAGGCGATGTTGTAGCAAAACAAGGTGACGTCGCCTATATATATATTCATATTAAGTTTTTTTTAAACTTAATATGAATCTTTTTTTAAAACTTATGTATTAGAGTGGCGCAATAGAAGTGTGGTGGGTCCATAACCGATAGGTCCCAAGATCGAAACCTGGCTCTGATAATACCTCTATCACACCCCCCGAAGTATCACATTCAAGAAGCGTGAACCTATCTTAAATCGATAATATTAAGATCTTAATCAACAATCCAATCCTGGATCCACTAAGAAAATATTCAAGTCATTCACATCCATAATTCCATAATTCATAAAACTTGTGCAGTTTAAAATCATTTATCACATCACTCGATGAATCATAAAATTTGAAACCAACTCACCAAGACAATTACCACCTCATAAATCCATAAGTGTTTATATCATTACATAAATTAAACTTAACACTCTAAAATCCCAAACATAAGAGGTCCTTTAAGTTTTTACAAAACTTATAAGTTCAGATTTGTCATCAATATTTCATTAGACACTAAGTGTACTTATACAATAAAAACATATCATCCACTGAAGGTTTGCCCCAAAATCTTCTAGCTTTCTACTACCTTAACCCAATTAACATTTTAGCGAGCAATAAGCTAACAATAACATCCCTCATTTTTTAAAATTTTGTAAAGGCTTGTTTGTAATGTAAGGACTTATTTATAAATATAAGGATTATTTAATAATTCTTTTATATTAAATAATTTTATATTAAAAATTTATTGCTATGGACCTAAATATGAATCATAGCAATTGTATATGATTTTAAACTGCATAAGTTTTATGAATTATGAAATTATGAATGTAAATGTCACTAAATATTTCTTAATATCCTCAAATGTTAGTTTGGATCCTAGAATGAATTGTTAGTTAAAATTTTAATATTATCGATTTAAGACAGGTTCACGCCTTTTGAATGTGATAATTCGGGAGGCATGATAATTATTACATTCAAGAAGCGTGAACCAGTCTTAAATCGATAATATTAAGATTTTAATCAATAATCAATTCCAAGATCCAAACTAACATTTGAGGATACTGAGAAAATATTTAAGTCATTTACATCTATAATTCTACAATTCATAAAATCTATGCAGTTTAAAATCATATACCATATCACTCGATAAATTATAAAATTTGAAACCAACTTACCAAGACAATAACCACCTCATAAATCGACAAGTGTGGGATTCTATATAATTACAAAACTAATATTTACCATATATTCATATCATTACACATATTAACTTAACACTCTAAAATCAGAGGTCCTTTAAACTTTTACAAAACTCATAAATTCAGATTTACCATCAACATTTTATTAGACACTAAGTGTACTTATACAATAAAAACATATCATCCACTAAAGATTTACCCAAAGTCTTCTAGCTTTTCATTGTCTCAATCTAATTTAAACATTTTAGCGAGTGACAAGCTATCCTAAAAAATTTATATAGTAATGAAGTGAGCATATAAAGCTTAACAAGCTACTAACATATCCACGATGAAAGAGAATAGTTTCAAACAAATAAGGTACCAAATACAAGTCAGGGATACCAGAGTTCATAGATAGTCACTTATCGAATGCAAAATTACAATGTCATTTCATTCGAAGCATATTTTGTTTATAATAAGGGAGGAAAGACTAATTGGAGTATATCAATGATGCAAGGAGCATTTCGGGGCATATCAATGGCGTATAAAATGTTATGGAGCATATCAATAGTATATAAAATATTTCAGAACATATCAAGGACGAAAGAAAAATGTTTCGAAGCATATCAATGGCATATGAAATATTTCGACATATATCAATAACAAATGAAACATTTCGAAACATATAAATGACGTACAAAATGTTTCGGAATATATCAATGGTATATGAAATATTTCAAAGCATATCAATGGTGTATTAAATGTTTCAGAGCATATTAATGGTGTATGAAATATTTCAGAATATATCAATGGCATATGAAATATTTTGAAACATATCAATGGCATATGAAACATTTCAGAGCATATCAATGGCATATGAAATGTTTCAGAATATATCAATGACATATAAAACATTTCAGAGTATATCAATGGCGTATAAAATATTTCGGAATATATTAATGGCATATGAAATATTTTGGAGTATATAAATATTGTATGAAATGTTTTAAAGTATATTAATGATGTATGAAATATTTCAGAACATATCAATGATATATGAAATATTTTGGACACACAAGTAAAAAACATATCGCCCGATAGCGGGTGGTCCATGTACCGATTTGCTGGCAGACTAGTACGTATTGTTCGGTATGAATGGTATTATTCAAAATTGAAGACCTTGATCCAAACTAAATCACTCTCATTAAACTCTACATGCTTTTTATATTTGTTGGCAGCTCGTATATACCTCTCATTTTGCTTCTCAATGGTTGCTTTAATACTCTCATATAATTTTTTTATTTATTTAGCTATCTCATCGGTATCTCCATTTAATTGTTTAGTTGCAGAATAAGGAACTAAGTTCAAAAGACCAATAGGATTAACACCATAAACAACCTCAAAAGGACTCTTACCAATACTATGATGCATGAAATGGTTGTAGGCAAACTCAATTTGTAGAAGAATGAGATCTCATTATTTGATGTTCTTGCCAATATAGCTTCTACGTAAGTTTCCCAAGCTTCTATTTATTACCTCCATTTGCCTATAGATATATGTATGATGAGAGCTCCTAAAATTTAAAGATATTTCGAGCATCCTCATAGTTCTCTAAAAATGGCTAAGAAATTTTGAATCTAAATCAGACACTATAGTTTTTGGAATGCTATGTAATCTCATAATCTCTTCGAAGTATAAATCAACAATATGAGATACATCATTTGATTTATTATAGCGAACAAATTAAGACATCTTTGAGAATATATTAATAACAACTATGATAGAATCCTTATTTCTTTAAATTCTTGGTAATTCGAAAATGAAATCAAGACTCACATCCTCCCATAGAGCATTAGGCATTGGTAGTGGAGTGTGCAAACCAGAATTTTGACTTCTTATTTTTATCAAATGAAATAGCATTGCTTCACAAGTCTCTCCATATCTCTGAACATCTTAGGCTAATGAAAATTTGATTAAACAAGAGCTAGAGTCTTGTCTCTACCAAAATATCTTCCTAAAATACCTCCATGAACTTTAGCTAAAATTACTTATCTTAAAAAATAAGATGAAATACACAAGACATTAGCTCGAAAAAGAAAACCATCAAAGATAGAAAATTGTTGAAAATAACATGATTTGCAATTCTACCATATTGAGCTGAAATCCACATCATTCTCGTCGAGATATTTGAATATCTTAAATCTAACCGCTTTGACTTCCATGATTAACAAAAAGAATGCTTCCCACTCAATGTATTAGTAATTATGTTTTGAATATCAGATTTGTGCTTGATAGCAAAGTTATAAGATTACAAGAACTCTACCCAAGCTACATGCCTCTTGTTTAGCTTGTGTTGGAGATTAATAAACTTCAATACCTCATGATCAGAATATAGGACAAATGGCTTAGTAAAAAAATATTGACTCTAATGAAATAAGGCTCTATAAATGACATAGAACTCCTTATCATAGGTAGAATATCTCCTTCTTGTATCATTTAACTTCTCACTAAAAAAGGTAATAGGCTTTCGTTCTGGACTCAAAACAGTACTAATACCCATATTAGAGACATCACATTTAACCTCAAATATCTTATCAAAATTGGGCAGAATTAAGATAGGAGCTTATATCACCTTTCTTTTTAACAACTCAGAAGCATCATCAGCCTCACTAGTCTACTTAAATTTATCACATTTTGACATTTGGTGATTGGAGAAACAATAGACCTGAAACCCTTGAAACCCTTGATAAATCTTTTGTAAAAGAAAGTTAAGATATGGAAACTCC